AAGGAGGAGGAGCGGAGCTAGGAGGACTCGGGTCGGCGAGGCTGTGAGGCGGCGCGGGGGCGGCGACGGGGGCGGCTTGGCACGGGCAAGGATCTAGGCTTGGTGGCGGTCTGTGGGGCGTGCCGAGGGTGGGGGACGGGGGCGTGAGGGGTGGTGAGGAGGTTGAGCGACGGCGGTTATGCTTAGAGGCCTAAGAGATTGAGGCTGAGATGAAGAGGAGGAGAGAGAGGGAGAGCTGATGAGAGAGGGAGAGAAAGAGAGAGACGGAGAGAGATGAAAGAGAGCTCGTGAGTGAGAGAGAGCACGAGAGATTAAAAAAAAGAGGGGGAAACACGAGGCAGGGTATTTGAGTGAAAGGGGGAGGGAATTAGGGAAGTGGGGTAGGGGAGAGAGAGGATGAATTATTGGAGAGAGAGAGAGACAGAGTGGAGTAGGATTAGACTAAAAGGGGTATAACAATGTATACAATGCCTGCTACAGGTATATGTAGCAGCTAAATATTAATAATAATACAAGATAATTAATAATACAAATAATGATAATAACAATAATGAATAACCAAACATTAATTTAAAAGTCTTTATCGTAACAATTAAATTTATAATTAGCAAAATCATTAAAATAATTATAAAAACAAACTTTTAAATTATAGAAAATTCTAGAAATTTAGGGAAATACAAATACTCTTTTTAAAAAATAAAATTTTAATATTTAAATGCCAAAAAATTTATTTAAACCAGTATTAAAAATTTACGGTTATTACAGTACAGTATTATGGTGTGCACCAACCCAGTACTATCAAGATCTCCTCGATCTATAAGACCTTTCGGTCAAGGCAAAAGATCTTCTCGATCTCAGAACATTTCGGTTTCAGGGTTCCTGCGGGCATAGTTCTGTAGTAGCAGCACAACAACAGCAATAACAACGTCGATCAGACGTTTGTTTTCTAAGCTCGCATGTGTATATCGACGTTCGTATCCTATACTGATGTTCGTATTCCATGCTCGCGAGAGTTTCCAGCAGCAACCAAGGAAAAAGATCTCCTCGATCTATAAGACCTTTCGGTCAAGGCAAAAGATCTTCTCGATCTCAGAACCTTTCGGTTTCAGGGTTCCTGCGAGCATAGTTCTGTAGTAGCAGCACAACAACAGCAACAACAACGTCGATCAGACGTTCGTTTTCTAAGCTCGCATGTGTATACCGACGTTCGTATCCTATACCGATGTTCGTATTCCATGCTCGCGAGAGTTTCAAGTAGCAACCAAGAGCTACCCAAGGGCGCTATTTATAGGCTTCTAGGCAGCTCAAGAGTCACTAGCAATTAATGTGACTGTTACAATTCTCAATGGCAATTAAGATTATGACATCAATGCATTAAATTGCTCTAATTGTTGTTGTAACTACTGCATGCAGTAACTCTAGAATACGAGGCAATCAATGGACGCGTTGCTACGAAATACGAGGGTCATATCTCATCAAATCATACGAACCTCGTTTGACAAACGAACGTCGTCAAACAGGCAAACCTCGTATGACAGACAAACCTCGTCGAATGAGCGAACATCGTCAAATAGACAAACCTCGTATGACAGACGAACCTCGTCGTTCGAGCGAACCTCGTCAAACAGGCGAACCTCGTATGACAGACGGACCTCATCAAACAAGCGAACCTCGTACGACAGACGAACCTCATCAAAGTGCGCCTAACAAAGCGTCACTTAGCGTCTCAGCCAGATTAGCCTCGATCCCCAGCCCATTGGCCCACGGCCCACGGCCCACGGCCCACGGCCTACGACCTACTAGAACTTATAAGGGATTAATTCAAATAAAATACTTCTCGGCTTGCCGTTGGCAAGCCTCGAACAAGGAACCTTTTGAAACACCAAAACATAAACTTTCCACTAGGCTACTAAGCATTTATGAAAAGTACTTGTAGTTAATATATATATAGTTTGAAAACTCATTTTGAAAAGCAGTTTTGACCAAAAAAATCCAATAATCCCCTACAAGTTTTTAAACTAGTATAGTGTTATGGTGCCGTCGTTTCAATCGTTATGCATAAGGTAAATGTCTAACTGAATAGAAGATAGATGCATGGTATTGCAGAGACTTGAACCAGCACATGTTTAAAATCCAGCGATCACACAAGATCTCACTCATCTGTGGTAGTTTTCACTTTGAACCACACTTGCCTTTGCCTTTGCACATTTATAGCATTGTGCTTGTCCTGGTTTCTGCTAGGGCTCTAGGTATCTTTCCACAAGACACCATAGGAGATGACCAAATCTCCATCCAGTCATAGGTGAGTTCTTTAGGCATGTTTCCTATCAAACATCCTGCATCCGAAATGCTTTGAACTCATTAAGGTTTAAGAGTCATCCTCTCTCATGATAGGATTCTAGGTGAGTCCTTTAGGTGTGTTTCTTATCTAACACCCCACATCCGAAATGCTTTGGACCCATTAAGGCTTAACAGCCAACCCCTTTATATGATAGGATTATCGGTGAGTCCTTTAAGCATGTCCTATCCAACATCCCACATCCGAAATGCTTTGGACCCATTAAGGCTTAACAGCCAACCTCTTTACATGATATGATTTTACTTGTAAATTTTACTTGACTTTTAAACCAATCATCTTGTCATTAGTAGCGTAAGCTTTGAACTAATAACTAGACGAAATAGTAAGTGTTTGTAAGACTCACCAAACTTTACAAATCTTACTTGACTTTTGAACCAATTATCTTTACTATTAGTAGCGTAAGCTTTGAACTAATAATTGGATGAACATGATAAGTATTTGTAAGACTCACAAAACTTTGAGACTCATTGCAGCAGACGTCCTTTCGACTATGTTTTTTTTCAGACCTTTAGTCAAAAGATCAGCCATATTCTCTGAAGACTGAATGTCAATCACCAAGATGACTCCTTGGCAAATAAGTTCTCTCAAATAGTCATGCTTCAGACGAATGGTCCACTTCTTTCCATTGAACAATGAGTTCGCTGCCACATCACCCGTTGCCTGATTATCACAATAGATTGTAATTGCGCCTTATAGTTCTGTCAATGGAAGGTCTCGGAGAATACAACTGAGCCACTCAGCTTCATCTCCTGTAGCGCAGAGTGCGAAGAACTCAGATTCCATCGATGACTGTGTAATCATAGTTTGCTTCTTAGATTTCCACGAGATGGTAGCTCCGCCCATGGTGAAGACAAAACCTCCAGTAGATCTACACTCATCTGGTTCTGAGCACCAGCTCACATCTGAATAGCCTTCGATTATAGCTGGATATCATGTATAGAATAGACCTAGACATGTAGTTCCTTTTAAGTATCTTATCAATCTCTGGACAGCATCCCAGTGAAGCTTTTCAGGATTTCTTGTGAACCTACTAAGCATTCCTACAACGAATGCTATATCTGGCCTTGTGCAGCTCATCGCGTACATAAGACTTCTAATTATCTTTGAATACCTTAGCTGCTCTACTGGTCTTCCAGTGTTCGGTCGAAGCTTCTTGTTGTAATCATACGACATTGATAGTTCTGGCAGATCGTAGTAGCCATACTTCCTTAGCATGCTCTCGACATAATGAGATTGGGACAATCCAATACCCTCTTCAGAGTATATGATTTTGATTTCAAAAATCACATCCGTAGTTCCAAGGTCCTTCATGCTGAACTGAGCTGATAAAAATTTCTTGGTAGATGTTACTATCTCCAAATCACTCCCGACGATGAGCATATCATCCACATAGAGACAGATAACCACCACATTCCCTTCAGCGATCTTGATGTATAGGCACTTGTCAGACTCACTGACTTAATACCCATTGTTGCGAACAACCCCATCAAACTTCTCATGCCAGAGTTTCGGTGCCTGCTTAAGTCCATATAAAGACTTAATAAGTTTACAAACTTTACAACTTCTCATGCCAGAGTTTCGGTGCCTGCTTAAGTCCATATAAAGACTTAATAAGTTTACAAACTTTACCAGCTAGAGCATCAAGTCCTTCTGGTTTTCTTAAGTCCATATAAAGACTTAATAAGTTTACAAACTTTACCAGCTAGAGCATCAAGTCCTTCTGGTTTTTCCATGTAGATCTCTTCTGTGAGATCTCCATTGAGAAATGTAGTCTTTACATCCATCTGATGTATGACGAACCTTTTTATCGTTGCCCATGCTATAAGCACTCTGATGGTAGCGATCCTACAAACTGGTGCATAGATATCAAAGAAGTCTATTCCTTCTCTCTGAGAGAATCCTTTCGCCACCAGTCTTGCTTTGTACTTCTTAATAGTACCATCAGGACAAAACTTCTTCTTGAAGATCCACTTGCAACTGATAGGCCTAGCACCTTCAGGTACATCCACCAGCTCCCACGTGTGATTTTGGATCAATGAATCTATCTCATCATCTATAGCTTCTTTCCACAGAAGAACGTCTGTTGACTGCATTGCTTCTTAGAAAGTCTGTGGGTCTCCTCCCACATTATAGGTGATGAAATCATCTCCAAAATATTTCTGTCTTCTGACACGCTTGGAAGATAGTTCAGTAATTCCTTCATCACTGACACTTTCAGTTTCTCGCAAAACTGGATCCTCTAGTCCATCTGACGTACTAGCATTCTCTGCTATATCTTTGAGCAAAATTCTTTATCTTTGATAAACTTATCCTCAAAGAATTCTGCATCTCGAGCTTCAATGATGGAGTTGGTTCTAATATGAAGGAACCTACAAGCATCACTATCTTTAGCAAAGCCAAGAAACACACATCTGTTTGTCTTTGGTCAGAGCTTAGGCCTTCTGATATCTGGAACTCTAACATATGCGAAACACTCCCACACTTTGAGACTATCCAAAGGATATGGATATCCCAAACATTACTGATGAGAAGTACTATTAGTTTTGAAATATGGTACTCTGTTCAAAATCCAGTTTGGCATCAGCAAAGCCTCTCCCCAATAGCATGTAGGTAGACCGAATGTGATTAACATCGAATTCACCATCTTGGTCAATGTGTGATTCTTCCTTTCTACAATTCCATTAGATTGCAGAGAATATGGAGCAGTAATTTCAGCAATGATTCCATGCTCTTTGAAGTATGCCTCTGACTCCTTAGATAGGTACTCCCCTCCTCTGTCACTCCTGAATCTTTTTACCTGAAGTCCAAGCTGCTTCTCCACTCGAGTCCGAAACTCGACAAACTTGTTGAAGGATTTATCTTTAGATTTCAGCAGGTAGACATTGCATAAGCGAGAGTGGTCATCAATGAAGGTGATGAAGTACTTCATGCCGCCTCGAGTAACGAAGCTCTTGAAATCATAAGTATCTGAGTGAATCAGATCTAATAGGTTGGTGCTCCTTGTGACACTTGAAAATGGCTTCCTTGTCAGCTTTGCTTATGCACAGACTTCACACTTGTCAGGTTTGTTACCCCCCACATTTCAGAAGTAATTCTAACTTCTCCATGCTAGACAGCTTTCTATAATTTATATGTCCTAGCCTATTGTACCATAATACAGAGGAGTAAGCAGAAGAGGATACTTCATTTACAACTGAGTTGGGTATAATAGTATTGATCTTATACATGCCATCAGTACGATATGCATTGCCAAAATATATTTTCTTAAAAGATAACATAGCCTTTCCTCCTTAAAAATCCAGCCTCATACCGGCGTCACACAGCAGGCTTCCAGAGACTAAGTTTTTGGCAATTGAGGAAACATATTTCATATCCTTCAATATGAGAGTCTTCCATGAAGAAAGAGTCAGCACCACAGTCCCAGTTCTAAGAACAGGAACAATAGAACGATCAGCCATTGATACGTTCTCTTTGACAGCAACATAGAAAGAGAACAAATCTCTGTTGGAGCAGACATGACAGGTAGCACCTGTATCTAACCACCAACCAGTGACTTTGCTGGGAGTTATCACCTGAAAGAGCATAGCCACACAATTGTTAAGTTAATTAACATTGTGTACGGTTCCCTTCTTTGGTGCTTTGCAGTCTTTGGCAAAATATCATTGCTTCACACAATTGAAGCATTTGCCACTCTTCTTGAAATCTTTCTTCTGAACATTTAGGTTCTTCGGATTATGATTCTTCTTTTTGTTAAAAGATTTTTTTAGAAGAAGAACTGGTACCCTTCTCAGAGTTAGTAGCCACCATGTTAGCAGATGCATTCTGCTTAGCTAGGAGCTCATTCTTTGTGCGAGTCCAAATCTCATTCTCGATCCGAATGAACCTCTTCAAATCAGATAAAGTCACCTGTATTTTCCTTCTTCGAATGTCCGTGGAGAACGACATCCAAGATAAAACTTGTTGACAATTGCACCAGAAATAAAGGTTTGACAAAGACTGATCTTTTCATCCTTCAGCTTCATAACAAGCTTTTTGAGTTCTTTAACTTGAGGCAAAACCTCAGTGTCATCTTCAAACTTGAAGTCCAAAAATTTGTCAATGAGGTGAGACTTGGAAAGCTTCTCCTCATCCTTGTATTGCTCCTTCAGAGTATTCCAGATTTCTTTTTGCATATAGCTTGTTGGTGTAAGCATTTGCCAGATGATCAGTCAGGCAGTTAAGGAGATAACTCCTGCAGAAATGATCATCTTTAGCCCAAGAAGCTTCAGACTCTGAATTTTCTCAAAGTCAGGTTTCTCTTCAAAAACCACATAGTAGATTTTCAGGAGTTGCATCCCAAAAATTACTTTTTGACGCCATGCGTTAACGTTAGATCCATCAAAGTTTTCTAACTTGAGACAGTCCACTCCAAGAGTCCTCGTGGGATCCATCAGTAGATCTGAAATATTACTTTAAGATTGTTGGAAATTAAGGTTAAATCTAGAATTAAACAGTGAATGATGATATGCTGTAATTTTAAACTTTTTCAAGTTAACTGTTGTGCGTTTGTGAAACGCTATGCTTAAAGCAATATTTGGTCTACTCCGGTGTAAGGATCCTAAGGCCAAACTATTTCTAGGAACAGCAGTACATTATTATGGTATGCACCAACCCAGTACTATCAAGATCTCCTCGATCTATAAGACCTTTCGGTCAAGGCAAAAGATCTTCTCAATCTCAGAACCTTTCGGTTCAAAACCTTTCAGTTTCAGGGTTCTTGCGGGCACAGTTTTACAGTAGCAGCACAACAACAACAACAACAACGTCGATCCGATGTTCGTTTTCCAAGCTCGCGTGTGTATACCGACGTTCGTATTCTATACCGATGTTTGTATTCCACGCTCGCGAGAGTTTCCGTCAGTAACCAAGAGCTACCCAAGGGCGCTATTTATAGGCCTCTAAGGCCAGCTCAAGAGTCACTAGCAATTAATGTGACTGTTACAATTCTCAATGACAATTAAGATTGTAACATCAATGCATTAAATTGCTCTAATTGCTTTTGCATGCAGTAACTCTAGAATACGAGGCAATCAATGGACGCGTTGCTACGAAATGCGAGGGTCACGTCTCATCAAAACAGACGAACCTCGTTTGATAAACGAACGTTGTCAAACAGGCGAACCTCGTATGACAGACGAACCTCGTCGAATGAGCGAACATCGTCAAACAGGCAAACCTCGTATGACACACGAACCTCGTCGATCGAGCGAACCTCGTCAAACAAGCGAACCTCATATGACTGACGAACATTATCAAAGAAGCGAACCTCGTCAAAGTGCGCCTAACAAAGCGTCACTTAGCGCCTCAGCCCGATTAGCTCCGATCCCCGGCCCATTGGCCCATGGCCCACGACCCACTAGAATGGATTAATTCAAATAAAACACTTCTCGACTTGCCGTTGGAAAACCTCGAACAAGGGTCCTTTTGAAACACCAAAACATAAACTTTCTACTAGGCTACTAAGCATTTATGAAAAGTACTTGTTGTTAATATATATAGTTTGAAAACTCATTTTGGAAAGCAGTTTTGACCAAAAAATCCAACACACACACACACACACACACACATATATATATATATACTATTATATATATATATATATATATATATATATATATATTATATATATATATATATATATATATAATATATATAGAGAGCGAGAGAGAGGAGAGCAGACACTAGAGAAGAGATGGCAGCTTTCTTCCCCCGTGAGCCTTGCCCAACTCTATGACAATGTTACCCCCACAATCGATGGACTAGTAGAGGGCTCAGCTGTTATAGAGTTTGTCAGCTTATATATATATATATATATATATATAATATATATATATATATAATTATATATAATATTATATATATATAATATATATATATATATATATATATTATATATATAATATATATATATAATATATATATATATATATATATATATATATATATATATATATCATATATATATATATATATATATAATTATATGCAATATGTTGTACATGACTTATAAATTATAACTATGAGAGGGAGAGAGAGAAAACCTCATAATATTATTCTTATTTATAAAATACATATTATACAGTTATATATGTATTTGTTACATACTTACATTATGCTTATTTAAGTACAGTTATACAGTTTACTTATATGATATACTTTAGTTTTATATATACTAGATGCAATATACTTATATATAATTATACTTATGCACTTATATATACTTATATAATTGTAATTCTATAATATACACATATAAGTATACTTATAACGACATTATATATATAGTTATATCTCAGTATCTATATCATGCTAAGAGAGAGAGAGAGAGAGAGAGAGAGAGAGAGAGAGTATACATCTATATATTATATGTAAATGTATTGTATATACATAATATACTTATATGTTATAACTTGAGAGAGAGAGAGAGAGAGAGAGAGAGAGAATCACATAAATATATATTATATATGTATTTATTACATACTTACATTATGCTTATTTAAGTACAATTATACAGTTTACTTATATGATATACTTTATACACTTATATATACTTATATAACTATAGTTCTATAATATACACATATAAATATACAGAGAGAGAGAGAGAATCACATAAATATATATTATATATGTATTTATTACATACTTACATTATGCTTATTTAAGTACAATTATACAGTTTACTTATATGATATACTTTATACACTTATATATACTTATATAACTATAGTTCTATAATATACACATATAAATATACTTATAACACACACACATATACACATTAATGACCATATAA